CACCGCACTGGAGGCGGCTCTACAGTGTGCAGGAGCGACTTTAGACGGCACCGCACTGGAGGCGGCTCTAAAGTGTGCAGTAGCGACTTTAGACGGCACCGCACTGGAGGCGGCTCTAAAGTGTGCAGTAGCGACTTTAGACGGCACCGCACTGGAGGTGGCTCTACAGTGTGCAGTAGCGACTTTATACGGCACCGCACTGGAGGCGGCTCTACAGTACACGAACCAGCAGTTGTGACTTTATTTGCTTTTTATTTTTAAAACCTCTGGAAATTTTAACCATGTTTGTTGGTACCAAGAAATGCTTCAGTTATAGATCAAAGTACAAAAAAAGCACCAGCTTCGGATTTTATCCCACATTTTCTTAAACGTGTTGTAACTTAGTTTACACTTAGTTAATTTCATTTGTCCGTGGCATCCTTCCCAGTGTGGTTGCTTAACAAGGATTTAGCAACATTACAAACACATTTAAAACTCCTCCTGTATGTATAGAAGAGACCCCACCAGGGGGTGGTAAAATAAGCATGCAATCAGGAGTGAGGTAGTGGTCTTCCAGTAAAGGGGGTATATTGGGGCCACAGGATCCCAGCTGAAAGCCGATTAGCCCCCCAGAGTCCCCCCTCCCCGTCGCTCACCGATTCCAAACATCTCATTGGTTAATGGCAAGGTTGCCCCCAGTATGAATTATGGCCCCTCTTATGGCTCCCACCTAAAAAAAAAACAACCTAAGAATCACCCGTTTATTAGGTCAGGTGGAGGGGTACTGTAACTTGCATATATGGTGAGGCTGGAGTAAGAATAGTTACAGTTACGCAGCCTGTGTGTAATTTGAAAGGGTCAGACCTACTTGCATGGTGGGTGGTACATGTGGCATCCATGAGGTCTTTTTAAACAGGGGGAAATGGGGGGCCCTCCCCCCCTCCAACACACACGGCACTTCCTCCAGTCCGTGTGAGTCAAATCCAGAACAGGTGGGAGGAAGGAGCAGACTGGGCCGCGCCAAGTCCAGGCGAGGGGGGTGAGGGCACGGGGATCAGGCGGCGAGCACAAAGGTGACATGACGCGCTTACTTTTGTGTCCAGGACGGACATGATCTTCTCCTTTGCCTCTTTCACGTTGTCCTTCTTGCCGCACACTTTGATGTGAGGATCTTAAAACAGAGGATTGGGGAAAATCTGCATCAGACACCCGTCAAACTCGTATCAGAATTGAAATTTTGTTGTTTTTGTGTCAGACTTCCTCATCATATGTTACAGTACCAGGAAGCAAAACTCACTAAGTCCACAGAAATCTTCTCAAACACGTATCCTGTGGACTCGGTGAAATTTGCTCTTCAACTAATCCCAACACAGAACTCATGAAATACTCTAACCCCAAAAAATTTAAGTCAAAATAAAAACATTGTCTCACTGAAATAAACATCAAGCACAAACACAGTAAAGTAACAAAGTAACAATGTTAGCATTAACTTGCTATGGCGTTCACTCTGTAGGTGGAATGTCAGTTTAATAAATGGGTAACACTTAAAGCAGTCATGCATAATGCACTATAAATACCTTCATAATGCATTATAATGCATTCATAAAGTATTCTAAACACGGCTATAACTATGTATTAGAAGGTTAAAATGCAAACACCAATGAAAGGCCGAGGGGTTATTAAATGTGACATGACAAACCCAGGAGCAGTAAGGGCCATAAAGCTGATGTGTTTCCCATTCCAGCATCCAGCAGCGCATTCTGCCTATCACCTTCTGAAGTGTAACACTGTGTCTTTGTGCTGCTGGACCTCCTCCCACATGACTCCATTCCCCCAGAATCTCTCTTTACCAGGCTCTTCCTAACCCTGATCCGGGGGCTTAACTATACACATCACGCAGCACGCAAAACAGCCCAGTGCAGCGTTAGACATACCCCTCCCTCAGCTGCAGGCTGCTGACCTTGGCCAGTTAAGTTATGTTGACATGGTATAATAAGTGACTTGTTACGTAGTTTCCATTGGGGTAACAATGTTTGAAAAGGACAATCAGAATTAATTGTTAAATCAGTGAGATCTGGAGCTGCTCAATCATGAATCTGTACTGATTTAATTAAAAATAATAATAATGATATGAAGCCATCCATCCATTTTCTGTACCCGCTTGTCCTATGCAGGGTTGCGGGGGGGGGTCTGTAGTCTACCCTGGAACAGGTGCAAGGCAGGGAATAACCCAGGACGAGGCGCCAACCCGTCACAGGGCACACACACACACACCATTCACACCTACAGACAACTTGGCAACTACAATTCACCTTAGCATGTTTTTAGGCTGTGGGGGGAAACCAGAGGTGGAAATTTCAGGTCCAGAAAGTAAAAATCCGGACCAAGGTTTTGTTTCAACCAACCAGTTGAGTACTCTGTAACTCTGACTCTTTATGCTCAACCAGGTTGGTTGAAACAAAATCTTGGTCTGGATTTTTACTTTCTGGACCTGAAATTTCCACCTCTGAGGGAAACCAGAGTACCCAGAGGAAAGCCCTTAAGGACACGGGGAGGACATGAAAACTCCACACATGTGGAGCGTTTATTTGTAATTTGTACGAGTACGAGGCATCAGAACGCCTCCTTTCTCCTACCCCATCGTGCTCCCCTTTTGAGACACACATCTATATACAGGAGAGAGCAAGGCTTGGGGTCTGAGTGCAGAGTCAGACCATTTGTCTGGGGCCCTGGAGAAAGTTCTAGGCAGTTAAGGGTCTTGCTCAAGCACCTACTATTTTAATAATAGACGATTGACATGATAATCACTGGGGGAAACTGGGCCGAGCGATGGAGATATGGACCAGCACGCCCCCTGCTGGCCAGCGCCGCTATGGAAAAGCCATCCCAGGATGGAGAGGGAGTGTGCCCATTCCGTGCGGTTCGCACGGGAGGGAAGGTGGGCACTCTCTCAAGTCTGCGCAGCGTCAGACATGGGCCGGCTCCGGTGAACGCAGCCCCTCCGCTGAGGTCTGAAACACCACGGCCCAGCGGGGGGAGGGCTGCTTGGCGTCATCTGCAAGTTCCCGTCACCTGGGACGGCTCCTCCTTCACTCGATCTTAGAACCAAACTCACCAGAGGACTGTAAGGAAGGACACATTACTAATACAGCAATAAAACCACGCTCCTTAAAAATGACGTCATCTACACCGGACATCTTTACTGGATAAGCAGCATGAAATGGATGAATCGTGTAATCAAAAGGTAGTCAGTGTACTCCTTATGCACATTAACCAGAAGGTTATCAGTTCAGGTTCAGGGAAAAACTCTGTGGAAGCACGTAAAGTTCTCCAGCGAAACATTATATGTATGTATGTGTTTGTTGCTTTGGATAAAAGGAGCGATTACTGATAATTAACAAAATGTTAAATGCAATCAGTTACTTAATAATGTATTATGACAGGAATATCAGTACACTATACCACAGTAACGTGGATTAAATTAAATGAAATTAAACTGAATGAAAATTAAATACAATGTAACTGAAATGAAATGAAGCTTTATTTGTCATTTATTAAATTAAACACAAGCAGGATGAGGTCTTAACTGAACACTCAATCCCCCTCCATTCCCAGGAACTAGTGAAATGAACCTCCCCGCTCCACATTCCTAAACTGCGCCGTTTTCAGCTCGCAAACGCGCCGCTTACAGAACGGCGGACTGAGCCCAGGGGTGCTGTGCCTGCGGCCATCGGCGGCCTCGCAAAGTCACATTTACATAAAAACGGTCAAAAAATGGCACCAAAAATAACCCTTTCTGCACAATTTCATCGCCCTGGTGGAATTCACTTTTATTTGCAGCTGTGTTTGCATAGATTTAATGACTGGTTTGGGGAGAAAATTATATTAAAAACCCATGTGTTTAAACAAATAGAAGTCTTAATGAAATTGTGTGAATTCTAAATGTACATGGTAAAAGAGAATTAAAACCAGATCTGGGTGTGTCTAATGAGTCATATTTTCATAACGTTAACAAAAACCGTAAAGTGTCCATCAGCCCATTCCACTGAGGCACACAGCGACTGTTACTGCCTGTATTATCAGCGGTGTTGCGTGATTTTCCCCTGCTGAATGGAAGCAGGTTATTTGATTACTTGAATAGCTGGGTGTTATCTTAATAACAAAACAGGGAGACTCCCAGACAGAGCACCCTGCGGCCAGTGAACGCTCGTGGGAGTTTTACTTAGAGAAAAATGTTCTGAGGCAGAAGGAAAAATGATTGGTTCAGAGAGATAACCAATCAGACTGTAGAGGAGGTGAGCCCAAGCAACCAGAGGAGGCAGGACCAACCAATCAGATGTCTTGGTCCCGCCTTCTCTAGTTGCTTGGACCCATTTCCTCCACAATCTGATTGGTTATCTCTCTGAACCAATCATTTTTCCTTCTGCCCTCAGAACATTTTTGTGCAAGCAAAGGCTGCTCAGGGCCCATCATCGCTTGCCGTGGCTTGGGGCTGCTCTGAGGTCCTGTAATGTGGAGGCGCCTGGCCCGGAAACTACAGTGCAAAGGAAAGTGTCCAGATAGGCAGCGAAATGCTGCGAGATCAGGTGAATAAGGCTGCAGAGCTGTCATGCAGTGATTCCCCTTCCAGAAGGGGGCAGTCTGCATTATTTCCCATTACACCAAATCGACAAAGTGCTATACTCTTCAAAAAAACGTACCTTTTTACTGGCAGGTAAGATAGCAAGAACCCAAAATTAGTTAACAGAACCCATGAAACTACTGTAGAACTCATTTTTTAAAATTATATAACTGCCACATTATTATCCTCTAATGTTTTGGATTTTGGCAACAGTATCAGAAATAAAGGAAGAATGACGCGAGTTTAACAGCTCTGTTTATAGCCCTGCAGCTGTAGGCGGTAAAGAAGAAGCCCTAATGATCACGGGAACGCTGGCATTTTGCTGAAGAATTCAAGCAAATATTATAAAGATGAGATGAAAAAAGAAAATCTTAACAGTGATGGGGAGTTAATAGCAATGGGAATGAATCCTATTGCTTTGGACTGTTACGGACACATTCTGGCTGCACTCTGGGCGAAGCAGGAAACTAATCTGTTTTTCTACTACATACCTTAAATTGTTGCACAACCATTTGCGGACATACAGAGCAAAGCCCCCGCTCAAATTTTAAGGATCCCCAGGGGCTTCTGGGAGGAACACAGGCTCCACACATCAGGGTGAAGAGGTGGACTATCGACAGTCTTAGGGTGCTGAAGGTTAACATGCTGATTTTATGCACCAGGAACACAAGTAACACAGATATAGGTAACCCCTGTGACTTGTTCTTATAAATTCTGACCCTTGAACTGTACAAAACCACGGGATGCTTTAGGTTTCCAACATTCTGATTTATACCTACATTTACATAACATGTGATATGAATGTGAAAGCATTCTTAAGTCAGTTTTTCCTAGTTTAAAATAGTCCATTTTTATTGACCCAGTTTTGTGTTTAAGGACATGAACTCATACCCCAATGGTTCGCTTCTGGGGTAGGGCCTTCCTGTAATTCCTTAAAGCTAGGAAAATATGAAGTTTGTGGCTCTGCAGCTTATGACTCAGTTCATAACTGGAAGGTTGCTGGTTCAAATCCAGTGGTTGGCAGACTGATGTCATTGTTGGACTCTTGAGCAAGGTCTTTAACCCCAGTTGCTCCAGGGACTGGCTGACCTTGCTATCTGATCCTCACTTGAGGTTATTTTGGACAAAACCATCTCATAACGATAAACATAATTTTCCAGAAAAGGTCAATATGGATCAACTAAGGAACTAAATGTGAAAGACACATGACTTGAAATTCAATAAGTTTGCATTAAGTCTGAACTAAGTCTGCATTAAAACAATGCCTGCAGATACTGAATATGAGAGTCCATGGATGTCCTTCACCCAATGGCATCAAATCTGAAATTCAGTTAGTGACAGTTGAACTACTAATTTCTCCATTTAGATATAAGGGATGATTTGATGCAACAGTGGGCAATTTTAGCCAGGACATCAGTGTACCACCCCTACTAATGCCACTGATTCATGAAATCACCACCACTAATCATCATCATCATCATCACCACCAGTAATCACAACACCAAGGACCTCTGGATGCAGAGCTAAAGTCAGCCATTCTACAGCATTGC